TTCCCCGGACTTGGGTGGATCTCCCTACAACCCCGTCAGGAAACTGTAGTCTTCTGAAAAAAATCTTGATTTCTCCCAAGCGGGGAGTGTCGTGCGTCTACAACACTTGACAATAGGCCATAATCCTTCCGCGTCATAAAAACCTCCAAAATCCAATCCTCGTCTTCCAGTCATCTGTTCTGGGAGGTCTCTTCGTGATATGTACTCTCGACCATTATCAGCCTCGGGGCTGTCCTTCTGGGCCCCATCACCTTTTCGAGGTATCATCCGAGTGTATGGAAACGAAATGCCCAATGCAAGCAAGCAAACATTATCAGTCTCTCGCTCTCCCCCCTCTCCCCCTCGCTCTCCCCCCTTTCTTCCGACACCGTCTTTACCTGAAGCGCGCTCTGCAGCGGCCCATGACCTCGCCTTGGCACACCAGCTCTGCGCTGAATTCGGATCCGTCGAGCGTCAGGTAAATGTCAAAGTAGACACGGTAAAATGTGCCCTGTGGTGTGTCCATTCTCTCAAAGTCCTTCTCTAGGTTCTTCCGCGACAGGTCCGAAGTCAGGGTGACAACTTCCTTGATGCCTGTGTCCGAGATTAGCAATGGTAAATTGTGAAAATCCATTATTGAACTTACGAGGATCCTTAGTATACTCAGGGCAAACATCATCATCGCAGGCGTACAGAATGTCCTCGTACATGAGCGTCGCACCTGGTGCAACTTGACGGAAGAACGAGACCTTGACAGGCTCGCCAATCTTGACCTTTTGACCCTTTTGCACAAAGATTTGACGGGTGAACTTGCAGCGGTCCTTGCCATCGAGGGATGGCACACGGTAGGCCTCGGGATGGTATCCTTCCTTAAAGGGCTGCAAGGTGGCCATGAGGTAGTGACGACGGGCAACACGGTGTGTGACGACGCGCTCGGTGATGCCGGCGGTAACAGCACCCTTGACGATAGCGGCCACGGAGTCCATGGGACGGACGACCTTGGACTGGAACTGGGGAGGAACGTGGAGCTTGATCTGCTGGAAGAGGTACTCGGAGGCACCGAATCCGCCAACAACGAGAATGTTTTGCAACGTCCGGTTCTGGGCCTGGATGGCAATGATCTGGTTTCTGACGAGTTCGAGAATGCGGTTAACAACGGGCTCGAAGCACTGCAGAATCTCCTCGTTGGTGAACGTCATGTAGCCCTCCTCGATGCCGGCCTCGGGGAACTCGGCCTCGATACCAACGTCGACAGCCCACTTCTGGCCGTTGTTGCGGAAATCGGCCTTGATACGGTTCTCAAAGTCCATGATGCACTTGGCGTACACGCGGCCGGCCGTCTTGGATCCGTCGGGCAGCTTCATCTTGCGAATCTTGGTGCGGAGGATGTTGCTGAAGTTGCGATTCAGCGCTGTTGAACCGCAAGAATCACCAGATCCTGCTGTGCACTCGGCAACGGTGAAGGGGTTCTCCTCCTCGACTTCGTACGCGATCAAATCGACAGTACCACCGCCACAATCGACAATCAGCACGGCGTCGTGGACCTTGAGGTTCAAGAGTCCTGTCTTGGAACAGAAAATAGCAGCAGCTTCGGGCTCGGAAACTAGGGTCAGCCGATTGTCGTTTTCGTCTCTCAGGAAACCGGCCTGGATAGCAGCAGCTCTGGTGGCGGCCTTTCCTGCATCGTTCCAAATGGCAGGGACGGTGAGATAGTAACGAATGTTCCGCTCCTCACGGTTGAATACTTCACCGAGAGTCTTTTGCAGAGCCGAGCGCATAGCCTGGCGGAGCTTGAAAAGATAGTCGGCCGCAACATCGATTTCGGACTTTCCAGGAGGCAGAGGAGGCAGGTTGATGGGGTCGATATATGTGTTGCCGGACAGCATGAGCTGCAGCTTGAACCACTCGACCTTTTGCACGCCGGGCTTTGGGTATCCAGTAGGGGCGAGGGCGTCGGCGATGTCGGGACCCCAGCCAACAACCTTCTGGTACTGATCGTAGTAGAGAACCGTGGGGATCTAGAGAGACAAAAGAGCGTCAGCAAAGTACAAGAGCAAAACGCATCACGCTTTGTCTATGTCTGGGGACCCCTAAGTTCTTCCTACCTTTTGCTTCGTGTATGAACCAGCGCCAGGCCATTCTGTTATAATGTCTTCCTTGGCTTCGTTGTTTGTCGCAAAAGCAAACGCCACACCGGAGAAAGTCGTACCCTGTGGGTCATGTCAGCAACGCGGCATATGACAAACATTGTCTTGATCCCAAGAGTCCACGTACGAAATCGATACCGACAATCAGCTGAGCCTTACTCCTGCTGTTGCCTTCCACCTCGGCCGCGCTGCCGCCTCGCTGGTACTGTGCCATGGGCCCACCTTGAGGAGGACCCGGGGGAGGATAGCCACCGCCGCCGCCGCCGCCGTACTGAGGAGGACCGCCCATGGGGTGTCCCTGACCGCCGATGGGAGGAAGCTGAGGGGGGTAACCGGCGACGGGAGCACCAGTGTTGATGGGAGGAGGACCGCCAACCATCTGCGAAGGCGGGGTGCGAGCCGGACCTTGACCCGTCATGGGGCTGGTGCGACCCATGGGAGGAGGACCGCCTTGAGGAAAGTTGGCCGAGTAGCTCGGAGGCCGGTTACCGGCGCCTGGGTGTTGATTCATGGGAGCGATTGAAGCGGAAGAGGTCGAGGCAATGGAGCCTGGGCGGACGGGAATCTGTTGCGGTATTTGAGGGGCACCGGAGGGGTGACCACCCTGAGGAGGAGGGGTCGGGCTTGGGGTTTGGTTCGGATCGGGTGTCTGGATACTAGCAGTTGACTTGCGTTTGCCGAAACCAAAGCCTTTCAGGCGGGAGTTGGAAAAGCTCATATGGGATTACTGAGTCGGGGAGGAGAAGAGGGAGAAAAGCGAGGGCCCAAGGTGGGCAGGACCAGCAGAGGGTATATCGATTTGGGTTGCAGGGCGTCGGCAGCCGTGCGGGTGCGGGTGCGTGGTGCGGTGCAGCAGAGCAGAGCAGAGCAGAGCAGAGCAGCAGAGAGGAGCGGTGGTGGTGGTGGTAGTGGTGGTGGTGGTGGTGGTGCTCTTGGTCGTACTCGAGTAATAATCGGCGGGATGATGGATTGGATGGCCTGGGCTTAGACTTTTAGGACTTGTTGCTGCGGCTGCTGGGCTTGGGCTTGGACTTTTGGGCTGGGGTGTCGGGGTTGGGGGGAGTGAAGAGGAGGAGGGGGAGGGGGTGGGTGGTGATTTTTTGGTAGTAGGCAGTGGTGGTCCGTCCCGGTCAACTTTCAAGTCAGACGCAGGTCAAGTCACGGTTCTTAGGTCAGCAGAGAAAAAGTCAAGAAGCCTTTTTTAGGACTTGGCTAAGAACCTTTTTCTGCAGGTCTGGGAAAGGGACCAGAAATCCTAGGACTCTTTCTCTCTCTCTCACACACACAGCTGCTGGGCCTGCTGGGTCTGCTGCTGCTGCTGCTTGCTGCAACGGGGCTCAGAGCTTGACAGGACGAGAACGAAGACGAAAGACGGGAAGGCGAAGGGGGAGAAAAAAAAAGAAGTGGGAAGGAGTGAGAAAATAGAATGCGGTGCTTGCTGGGAATGGGGGGGGTGGAGGGGGTGGAGCGTGCAGCGTGGGCCGTCCTTCGTGGACCGTGGACCACCGTGGGCGCTTGAATGAATCCGCCGTTTCTGGGATGATGCGGGTTGAGGTGTGCCGTACCTACTCCGTACAGAGCGGTGCAACGGAAGGAGCAGCAGCAACAGTAAGGTAGGTATTCGTAATGTAGTATAGCAGAGGGCACACGGCAATGGGCAGAGAGAAAGAAAGCGAAGGGGATTGATTGTGAGAGAGCGTGTGGGAGAGTGCGGGACCAGGTGAAGAGAGACTGCGTATGAGTGAATGCGAGCAGATGTGAGAGGATTCAACAAGGTAAGGTAAGGTAAGTTCTGATGGACGACGGGGATGGTGGATTGGGTTGGTGGATTAAGATGGGAGCTCTTCTGTCTCTTTCTTTTGGCCAAGACGACGACAAGCAACAGGAGCAGGAGGACTTGCAATTGTGAGGCACCCGGGAAAGCAACAAAATGTACGGATACAGGTGAATGAATACTTACGGATAGGTACCTTTTCAGCCCTTCGCTCGCTTACTCTGCCTTGGTGAGAAAGGAAAGCTGTCTGGCGTAGATGAGACCTTGATGTAGCTCAGGTGCGGGACGGTAAGCATGCGTTGCTTGCTGACGGTGTATTGAAGAAGACGAAAACAAGGGTGCAAAGTGCTGCAGTGAAAGACGATGAGTTGAAAATGTCGAAGAAGGTGAGATTCGGAAGTCGGAAACGGTGACGATGAGCTGTGGATGAAGCAAGCAGGCAGGAAGGCGGGCTAGGCATGCAGAGGAGGGCGACGAGGGAAAGCGACCATGGGCGGTACGAGACGCTTCCTTCCTTCGTCGCTAGGTACCTAGGTAGAGACAACCTGGAGGAGAAAGAGGCTCACGCAAAGGTGGGCTGGGCGGCTGGACGCGGGGTCGGGTGTCCAGGTATGGAATCCGTAAGAGCAACACGAGCAGGAGGTAGCACACACTGGTGCACTAAGGTAAGGTGAGGTAAACAAGATGAAGCCACCATGAGAGGGAGAGAAGCCATAGCCTGCTGCTGTTCGTTGTGCTAGGTATTCAGCTTCTCTCTGGTCAAGGAATCAAGACTGATAGGCCAACCTGTTGAGGAGTACATTATGTTGGTCTTATTCAAGGGTACTCGAGTACGGTCTTGGATATCCTGCCTGCCCATCTATCCGTACGCATACAAAAAGCTAGCTGTTTCTTAGTCCTTCTGCTGGCCAAATTGAATTGTCTCGTCTCGTTTCGTTCTGTTTTACGGTCTCGCTTTGCTTCAAAGGACCACCCCGTTTGCCCTCGCCCTCGCCCTCGCCCTCGCCCTCACACTTTACTTGGTCCCAGCCCATGTTCCAACGAGTGCTTGCTTGCTTGCTTGCTTGCTGCCCTGTGCCCCCCGTTTTGGCGCATCCAACATGGAAGGAAACCTTGAGGTGAGGTGCGAAAGGAAGTCCTGTGCGATGACTGTCAACTGTGTACCTGGAGTGGGGAACCCTTCCGACGACACATGTCACTCTCTGCTGCCATCAATTGCGAAAGTGACATCGACCAGGATCCTCAGCCAGACGGTGGTCCGGCGATGCTATTGCTAAGGTACCCACGAATACTCCCGCCAGCCAGCTGATGGCACTAAAACGAGCTGCGGGTGCGCTAGGTGGAGGAACCCCCCCTCGGGTCGCTTTCTGGGCAGTGTAAGGCTGAGAGGGCGCTCAATGGCCCCAAATGCTGCCTCTGGATTGGACTGCGCCGGTTCAGACTGGCTGCAGAGCACTGGAGCCCCATGTGTACTTCCTAAGAGCTCACCTCGCAAGTGTGCAAGGAACACACAAAGTACCGAGTTGGGCTCTGTGTGTACCTCCAACGTATCCATCCATGTACGACGAACATGTATTGCAGGACTTTCCCACCTCCAAGTGGTACAGAACACACACTACTTGCATCTCAGCACACAAAGCATCGTGCGATACCTGGCTGAATAGGATACCTTCCTTGGAGTGCTTGACTGGCCCAGTTTCGTCTCGTCTGCGGCCAGATCAGATCACCGACGGGTTTCGTCCCGTCTTCCGTCGCCGTTGTCAACGTCTGGGACCCGGGCGGAGGAGGGGGCCGTCGCCATCTACACGAGGCCTCTCGAGACTGGTTTCTCGCTGGTGTCCGTGTCAGAGACTCAAAGAACCCCAACACATTGGACGACGTCTGTCGGGGTCTTTTGTCTGCCCATCCCCACCCCCGTAGAATGACAAGACATGACAAGGTTGACGGCGAAGCTCCAGCTGGATATCAATGTCTCAACCCCGGGCGGATACTTGCTGTACCTTGATGATGAAGGACGCAAGCGATCACACTGAAACGGCCCGTGGGAAGACCTGGCATCAAGGACAGTCAGTCGACCGCAATCTTGATGCCTGCAAAGGAATAAACAATGAATTACCTTAGCCCTGCTGTTCCCGTTAGAGGTGTCTGACAGCTGACACGCTCTGACGAGCCAGCGCCAGCTGTTAGGGCAGGGAACATGCTGATGTGACTTTCGTGGAGAAAACTGGGGACGGGATTCCCGATGCGTGGTTGCGAATCTGCTAGGCGTTGGGAAATGGGACAACTAAGACAGGGTATGGACTTAATCGTCGGTCTGCGACGATACCTCGCTGCGGGGAGTTGGGACCCAGAAATCCGGCAACATCTATTCATGTTTGGCTGAGTCCTTTTGCAGGAACTCCAGGGCTTCAGGTGTCAACCATCGGATGTCTGTGGCCAAAGTCAGTCAAGGACTTTATGGAAGCGTCATGGGGCACAGCTCGCCTTATCTGTATCTGTATAGGAACACGAGCACTATCAACGCCCAATGATCATAGTGCCATGGAACCTATGACGAGCAATGAGGGATTGTGTCTCTGGATACTGGCTCTTCGAACCCTGAGAATTATTGAGGGGCCTAGTAGAAACTAGAGAAGCAGACGAGCAAGGCGTCTCAGGGCCAGGATTCAATGGAAGGGATGAGTCTGACTGGACCTACATACCTACCTAGTGGTAGGATCGCAATGCAGGACTTTTGACGTAGGACTTTGGGAATTGAGTGTACTCCGTACGGGTACTCCATACGCAGCACCAAGTACCTCGAGGTACATGATGTGCCCTTGACGCCGGGGAGGCATCCGCACCTGCAGCTCGCCGTCTGTAAGACCTTGTCTGGCCGGTAGCTTTTCCTTCGGGCTGGGTCATGACAACTCGGGAATCGGAGGCATCAGTTAAGAGATCGAAAAGTGCTGCCATTTTCTTTGCCAGTCTACTTCCCTTTCCTTGGTGAATCTGGCCCAGAAGCGCTCGAAGGTAAGGTACGTCGGATCAATCGCGAACCCACGGCTCTTTCCTTTGTCCTGGTAATCGTATCTGGGGAGGAACGTGGGGGTGAGTGGTGTAACTGTAACTAGGGGAAGCCTTAAGGTAGCCTACGGAAACCTACCTCGTAGATAGGCAAGCATCTCGCGTTTCCCCTCTCTTTCCTGGTCCTTCTTTCTCTCGTGGCTAAGGTACCCCGCCAGGTCAAGGAAGCAAGAAGTAAGGTAGGTAGGCACGTACGGTAAGGTAAGAAGGGACCTTGGGTTCGTCAGCACTTGAGAAGCTTGGGTCCCTGCCAATTTCCCTCCCGCCTTGCCAAATGGCAGGAAGTAAGAACATCGAAAGGCACCTTCCGTTACTAAGATAAGATAGATAGTCATTGCCATCCAAAGTCTTCCCTTGCCCTCGCCCTCCTTGTCCCTTTACACAGTATGTTCCTCACGGAAGCGCTCAAGATGTATGGCTGCACAGTGAACTGGGCTTTCAGTTTCCAACGAGACATTCGTGTTCGAATTCTCTAGATACGTCAGCATTCCGCTTAGCGCTCGACCTTACAGAATATTGATGCAGATGCAAGAGGCCTCACCCCTTCTTCGCTCTCGCTGCCAAAGAAGCAAAAAGCCTTGCTCACGTCAATCTTTTCCCGTCTCGAGAGCACCAGCTGGAAGACCGACCGATGCCACAGCTGTACCTGCAATCCCATCCTCGTACGACTACCTGCGAGATACATCAAGACTTGAACCCGAGGACGCCATCTGCAGACAGTTGGGTGAGGGAGACCTCTCGTTCCGAGCCATGCCTCGTACCCTACTAACCCTACGCGAGATAATCTTGTTCCCACAATATCTCACTGAATGGAAACCAGCCGTCGCGAGGCGTAGCACAGCAGCCATGCTAAGCCCCGTGGTCGTGCAATAGGCCAGACAGGGAGCACCCCTACTTGCCGCCGTCCTCTGATCCAACTCAGCAAGCTCAGCCGCACAGCTATTCAGGTTTAGCAGCTTTTCCCAAGCCGGCGCCGAAGCTTCCCTTCTATCCAGTGCGCCAGTCTTACTTTTGCCAGTCTTCAAGCCCCCATCACTTGGTGCGTGAACTCTCAAGAGCACCCTCAAAGTTTGATGCCGTTGGAGCATACAATCCTTGGGTACCTACTCGGGGCCAGGGGATGGCGCCCATGGCCCTAGGCCCCCAGCCTCCCACTGATCTGATGGTTGGAAGGACTTTGCCAGGTTTGCTATTACGGCACACCGATACCCATCCCGGCACGCCGTCGCTCCGGTCGGGCTGTCAATGTCCCGGATCCTAGTCGCTGGCACGCTTCCGTTGCGTCGTGTTTGTTCCTGCTGTGGACAAATGTTACGAGGGTCCCACGCGTCCTGGACACCGCCAAACTCTTCTCCGCCTTGCCCACTGCGACCTAAGCTTCTCGAATCCGCGTAATTCCAATGGAAGCACTGCCCCCCAGCCCCATCCGTTCGGTGGGCCTACGTTCCTCGGAGCAGCTTGGAGGCTCCGGACTGGCTACGGCCAGGTCCGAGTAACTTCTACCAGGAACATGGAAGAATGTGGACTGCATCTGCCGCGTGGACAGTCCCCAGTATCGCTGTCGCCGTGACGCCGTAGGCCGGGATATGTTCACGTGTCCGGAAGGGCGCCGTAGGGGTCCTTCGGGGCTCCGGCCGTTGCCCCCGAACGCATTGGGCCCGCGTCCAATTGCTCCCCACCCGCTTCTGGTGAGAATTCTGGAGACCTGTCGATTGAAACCCGAGCCGTTATGGCCGGCAGCATCCTGACATACCGGCGGCCGGGTATCGGTGCGATGAGACATGCCTTACATCAGACATGGTTTGGTGAAATACGCACTTAACTTGGACGCCGATTCACGGCGATTTTCGTGCATCCCTTGCGGGTCTTTCTTTCTTTCTTTCTTTCTTTCTTTCATTTCATCTAATGCAATGTGCGGTCTCCCATACTTGCCATTGAGCTGAGGGGTGGTGAAATTGCCCTACATGCTTTCAACCAGCTCTATGTAAGTGCGGGGGGCATTCGAGGGAGGCTTTGCTCGCAAGTCTACGTGCCGCTTCTCTCCCTTCCTGTCCCTTTTCTAGGCTTTGATAGGCGAGACAACACGCCGTCTTCTTACGTGCCAATCGAAAGGAATGTGCAGGTACGATCCAAGTACATAGTACAATAGTCAAGTGTCCTTCGATCAGTTCATGGTGAACAGCTGAGTGTGGCTAGTGTCCGCCACCAACACTTCCTTTCTCATTTCAAGCTTGGGCCGAGAGCTGGGTGCCAAGCTGGAAGCTACGGACGACGTCTCATTGGTCACAACTTTCTCCCTCCCGTCCGTACGCAGTACACGCTGGATCTGTCTCCGCTGGTTTGGAACAGCCGCGGTGGCAGCAACATTTGGGTTAAACTCAGGATACCAAGCCAGCCAAACTCTATCAGGAAGGGGAATTAGGGGACCGGCAGATTGCACGCAGAAAATGGCAGTCGCGGCCGGTACAACTGTAGGGGCCGCGTTACAGATTCAATAGCGCAGCCAAGCCACTGAATCAGCATGGCGTCCCATGTTGACGAACCTGTCCTCTTTTTCATCCGTTTCCAGACAGGGAAGCCTACCTAAGGTAAGCCGTCGCAGCTGCTTGCCGATTGATGTTTGGCAAGTGCAATTGGCATAACGCAGGTCCGCAGGTACCGTGCCGATGGGAGAGAAGGAACCAAAGAAAGAAGCGACTGCCCCCTGCCATTCTTGTTACAATGTGATAGTCTTCCCTCGACATCGATTCTGGGCCTCTGTCTCTTCCATCATTTCAGTACGCTCCAGCTTCCTCCAATAAATGCCAAGCTGAGGCGCCACCGACCAAAGGGCAGCTGAGACACCACGAATGTCAGGATATCCCAAGATACGCGACGCCTACTGATACTTGGCTCGTGGAATGCTGGTCTGCCGCGTCGACAGCCTTATTATACCGATCCAACGTCCCACAAGCTCTACAAATAAGACTTTACCTTTCTACACAACTTGGAAAGTCACACTTGCGGCAAAATGGCTTTCTACCAGATAAATCTGGCCGTTTTTGCGGCGGGCAACGGGTATCTGCTCTATCAGCAGTACAAGCGCCAGGAACAAGAAGTCATCGAGGAGCTGAAGCAGGAGGCTGCCGACTCGGAGGAGGGTTCCGACGGAGGAGATGTCGAGCATCAGCAACTGCTCTCTTCGCCCGTCGAATCTCAAAATGCAGTCCGCCAATTCCAGCTGGACTTCTTCCCGGTCTACGCCCTGGCAATGGCAGCGGATTGGCTCCAGGTAATGCGCCGTGCGACTACTATCATGGAATCAATCAGACTAACATAGGGACAGGGCCCCCATATCTATGCCATCTACAGATACGAGAAGAACATCCCCGAGAGGGTCGTGGCTGCTCTTTACGCTGCAGGCTTCGTGTCTGGCGCCATTTCCGCGTCCTTTGCCGGCGAGCTGGCAGATCGATACGGCCGCCGCCTTGCCTGCCTTACGTACTGCGCTACCTACATCCTCACCTGCCTGACGATGCTTACCGACAACCTCTTCATCCTATTTCTCGGCCGATTCGCCGGCGGTGTTTCGACGACACTTCTGTACAGTGTGTTCGAGGCCTGGCTGATTACGGAATACAACCAGCGTGGTCTTTCGCGGACGAACCTCAAACTAGGCTCCATCTTTGGCAACATGACCACCATCAGCTCCATCGTTGCAATCCTGTCTGGCGTCGTTGGTGACATCTTGGTCAACTCGCTGGGTGGCCGCGTCTGGCCTTTCATGGCAAGTGTGGTCTGCTCCGGGGCGGCCATGTGGTTGATCTTGAAGGGGTGGAGCGAGAACTACGGAACAAAGCAGCATGGCCCGGCAACAACA